TTAATATTAAAAATATTTTTACATTTATATAATATTTTATACAAATGTTATTGCATATGTATTATACAATTATTTTTATTTTTTATTTTCTTAAATTTTTACTATGTATGAATAAAATATTAATATTTAAAATTTCACATGCGAAAAATAAATAGATAATTAGTAAGGGGCAGTATATTATTATATATTAAAAATAAAATAAATTATATAATTCATAATAAGATTATAAAAAATATTTTGAATGAAAGAAAATAATTATCAAATAAAGTGAACATTATATTTTCTCGTTCCAATTCAATATATTATTTTTACTATTTCATTTCATTTAAATGTATTTAAGTAAAAGTAATTAATAGACAAATACTGTTTTTTTTTTCTTTTTTGTACTTTTAAGGACAAAAATGATAAAATCATTTTATATATTACTAAAATTAATTTTTACTATTTTTGTTTGTTTCATTCAAAAATATTTTCTTTTTTTTATTATAGTAAAAGTATTCACACATTAAAATCAAAATATTCTTAATTTGTATATAAATTGCAAATATATCATTATGTGTATATATAAAGTACAAATGACAAAAATATCATAATTATCTTACACAATTTTACTAACAAATAAAATATTATAATTTTTTAATCTATTATAAAAACTCAAATAGGTACTTTTGTCCGGTATAGAAGAAGTATTATTTCTTAATTCATTACAAAAAAATATATATATATTCTATTGGAATTGAAAGATTATTAATTAATTTTATTATGCTTCATCCGTCTATTTGGTAAGTATATATTTTGTTATTTTTTATTGTCCAAACACAATATCATTTACTTTTGTAATATGTATGGATCCTACTATATATTAAAGATATTTTTCACATTTATACTTATTTACATCAATATTCTTATATCAAATGACTAAAATAATCTTTACATATTAAAAATTATCACTAATTATTATTAAAATTTAATATTTATTAAATTTCATGCAAAAATAAATATATATTTTTCAAATGACTAAAGAAGTATAATCTATTAGAGTAATTTTATACTTATAATAATATCCTTCTCCGATCCTTAAAAGCATGCACATTCATATTGAATAGAGTATCTTTCTATATAGTTAAACTCGAATTGCGTGTCTAATATAAAAACAAAAATATTTAATATGGCATCGATGAGGGTTTGTTTTATTATTTTATTTCAACATTATACTTTTAATATTTTCATCTCAATTTTTTTAAAAAAATATATATAATTATTAAAATCAATTTATAATTTTTAAAATAAATAAATATATTTATATACAATCATATTTCTTTCATATATAATTAATTTATATTTATTATATATAAATGTAAAATATAATGCTCCTTCGGCTTCATCTTAATTGACATTTTTGTTTTCTATTCTATAAAAATTGGCATATATTTTTTTTTTATTTTTTCTATTCTATAATAATTGACATATTTCTATTTTGAGTAAAACTTATAAATTAAAACATATTTAACAATAAGACCCACTTAATATCCCTTTTATTTATATCATCTTCTCAAAAAATAAATATTTTTATCTGTATTTAAAACTCCACTTTTATTGTAAAATTACTTTATATTAATTATAAATATACAAATCCGCACCCCTAGTTTCGATAGGCATTCTAATGAATTTTAAACATTCCCATTATGAAATTAATTGAACAGATGAAATATTAATTTCTCTCTCTTAGTCTTTCTTTAATTCCAAAATACGTAATACTCCCTATGTTCCTTAACAAATTTTTTTTTTTTTTTTATTTTGGTCCGTCTTATAACAAATTATCAGTTTCTTTTTTTTTTTAAGTAATTGTACTATATACCTAACATTACAAATATCCTTACAATTTACCATATATTACACAAATATCATTACATATTTACATTTATATCACACAATACTAATAAGGTTACTTTAGTCATTTCTACTTTATTTCTAATACATCTCAATATAATATTAATATTTTTAAAACTCCGTATAAAAAACAAACGAATACATAGATATGGGGCGTAGGGAATATATCTTGAGAGATGGAAAGCGGAGGACTAAGTTATTTGTGAATCTTATAAAAATATTAATTACAATTAACGTGAGAAAATCATTTTAATTTATTTTTAATAGAAAATTCGGTATCAATCAAGATAATATATTTTTGTAATTATTTAAAATTTAAAAGCAGTTATGGGTCCATAGCTCAGTGGTAGAGCAATTGACTGCAGATCAATAGGTCACCGGTTCGAACCCGGTTGGGCCCTTTTCTATAAAATCGTTTTCTCTTATTTGTCCATTATTTTTATTTTTGTTCATCTCACCTTATTTGACATAAATATGATTATATATTTAATCACATTTTAAAATTTTTTAATTTATAAGTTTTTAATCTTAATTATACTATTTAGTTATTTTAATCTTAATTTATAATCTGAATTTTCGTATTTACAGTAAACTGGACACAAAAGGTAAAACATAAAAATAGGTTAGGAAGACAAATGAGATTTTCTCCCATTCTTGTAAAAGAAAATAATGTAACTCTATCTTTTTAATAAATTTAGCTTCATTTATTTTCTATATGTACAAATAAGTAGGACTAACGTCATAAAAAAAGAAAAAAAAATAATATTAAATTTGACGGACGAAAAGAGTACTATTATATTAGAAACGGTTGTTAATATTTTATGAAAGTTAACAAATTAAAAAACTCATTTATCACATCTATCCCTATCAATAACAAAATTCAATTTATATTTATTTTTTGTATTTACTTTTGGAAAATTTTTATATAAAATGTTATAGTCACGTTATGATTTTGTTGTTTAATTGTGTTTAGATTATTCAACATAAAAAAATATAAATTATTTTTATTTTTATTATAATACTTTACTAAATAAAAAATCATTAAAATAGTAGTGCATTATAAATATTATACAAATTAATTATCTAGGACAGTATTTTTAAAATTCCGTACCAAAAGTTCTTCTAACACTTCAAGTAACTCCATTTATGCGGTTTTACCTCTAAATAATTTTACTCCAATTATAATTCAATTTTTCACTATTATTTTTCAAATATTCATTTTTTCCTATTATTTTAAACAACTTTTTATTTTTATAATTTAAAATAATTTTTTTGAAATTTAGAAAAATAAAAAATAAATTTAAAAATTAAAATTTTAAATTTTAAAAATTTAAAATAAGAAGGCAACGCTAAAAAATGGTGCTAGATTTGACATCTGTTGGAGACAACCGACGCCACCATTAATGGCACTGAATTGAAGATGCCCTTAGCAATCAACTTTACGAATGTCATCGTGAAAATGTTACGAGTACATGAGATTATTTTTCATAGAGATCACAATTGTATTTGTGGGTCGTAAATGTCAAACCACATATTCCTCTATGTCACTTGTACTTGTTCCTTCTTCCATTCTTGAAACATCATTAAGTTTGTTGCTTTTTCTTTTTCAACGGCCTAAATTTTTATGAATATTATTAAAAAATATATAATGTAGACAATATATATATACATTTTATCAACTAAAAAAAAATAATTTAATATAAAATATTATTTTTTTTATATTATCAACATAGTCTATCGTACCTAACATAAAAATAAAAATAAAAATAAAATTCACTCAAAAACACGAAAGGTATATTTCTTTCGATGAGTTTTGAAATTAATTTGAATTTGATATTAAAACAATATGAAATATTTTGTAAAGAAAATATATATATATATTATTTGAAAAAATACAAAGTACAAATAGTAGAATTTTAAAATTTGGATTATAAGAAAACACATCCAAAATGAAGAATTTAGATATGTTTACCGGTCAAATTAGCATTATGTTTTTCATTTTTTATTTTTATACTTTCAGATATTACATTGTGTGAAATACACTGAATTTTCTTTTTAGTAAACAAATATATTTACATAGATTCAAAACTATTTTTCTATAAAATTAATTATATTAATCATAAATAAGTGTATATATATTTTATATTTATATTACATTATATAAAAATATATATATAAAATAATATCCATATATTTTATTAAAGCATAAAATTCAAAACACTTAAATATGCATTTAAAAAAATTATTATACTAGTATTATAGATGAAATATTATTAATGAAATAAATTTCATTGAGGTTAATTTAGAGCGTTTAAATTGGCTTAAAAAATAAACAATTTATATTTGGATAAATCATTATATTTGAATATAATAAAATTGGAAGTGTTTGACATAATTATGTAAATATATTTTTCTATTATACTTTTATAATTTATTTTAAAATTTTAGGAATTATATTTAAAAAAAATTACATTATCTAGCGTATTTGAAAACATATATATTAAATTTTATGTATAAATATATCTTTTATTTTAATTTAATTAAAAATTAAAATATAATTAATAAGTAAACTTTAAATTACTCTACAAATTATTTTAAAACTTTATAAATTATATTTAAAAATGTTAAAAATTACCTACTATATAATTAAATTTATATTTTTAAAATTTAATCTCTCAATTATATCTTTTAAATTTTAATTTAAATATAATATATAAACTAATAATTAAAATAAATATAATGAAATTTTAATATGAATATAATATATATAAATTAATTCTTTTATTTTTATTAAATTTAATATTAAATAATTTATTAATATTATTGCTATAAAAGACAAAATAATAAGTTAAATTATAAAATTGCTTTCAGAAGCACCTTCTGATATGCTTTCCAAAAAAAGCACTTAGTAGAGCTCAAAAGCACTCTAGCCAATACAAGCGACCTGTAGACCATCAGTTTTTCATTTAAAAAAAAAAAAAAAAAAAAAAAAAAAAAAAAAAAAAAATTCACTTTCACTTTCACTAGCTAACCTAAGAGAACAACTTATTTGTATACATTACACATTGATTATATAAATTGATTTACCCACACAAATAAACACAGAGAGATTGAGATAGCAGCCCATTTTACAATTTCAATGATAAATATCAAATTGTACAATACATCAATTATAATTTCATAAAAGGCATCACAAATAAACTTGTTGAATTCTTAAGTTACCTGTAGTGTAGTGTACCCTCCCTCTCGAAACCAAATTATTTTTCATGTCCAAGATGAACACTGGTTCGCCAACGGCAATCTTACCTTACCTAGCTCAGAAACAGAGCCGTGCACTGCTTTACAGTGTCCTCTGGGCTAGTAACTGATCCACAAGTCAAAAAATAATTCAAAACTTCAATATGTCCATAGCTACAAAATAAAGGCACCACAAACTCAACTTTGATTCATGCTGTTTTCTTTAAATTAAAATCCGAAAAATAACACATTTTCCTACTTGAAGCTCTGGTTTATGTATGTAGGCAAATTTAATACACGGCTCACTAATATTAACTGAAAAGTATGGCTTGAAAGACATATGGTTGCTAAATGTATTGTTTATCGTAACATATTTCCATCAATCATAGACACCAAAAATTATAGGACAAAATTTGCTAAGGATTAAACTATAATAGCCGCCAAATTTAAGCTGTGGAACGGCTAAAGTTTCATCATACCATGGAAATGAAACAAACAAAGACATTTCTTGCAGCATAAAAAGTGTATTTGCTTTAGGAAATGTTTCCGGTTCAGATTTACGCTTCTCAAAAAACCAAAGCTCTATTCTGGTTGCCACTTTAGGAGCACCATAATCACCAGGTAATATTACTAAAGTGAATTATTTTTATCCTATTCAATGATCATAAAGCCATCACACTAAAACGTGAGAAGGAATATCTGCTTTACCTGTGTGACCAACAGTTCTTTCTGATTCATAGATCTCATAGTCATTTCCCCCCTATTAAAGCAAATGTGAAAAAAAAAAATATTTTATGCAGCGTAACATAACAAAATATTCATGAATAGCCATCAAATGAATCAATTTTTTTTTAAAAAAAAAGGCTCCAGAAAGAACCACTAAAATACACCATGGAAAGCAATTTGTACTTTAAAAAAACCATTCTGGAAGAAGAGACCAGAAAGGATTTCTGAACCTTTCAATCTCACATGGGGCTAATATACAATTTATTTTAGGAAAATTCTTAGCATGACAAGATACAAATATTGTATTTCTAAATTTATGTTCTAAAATGCACAAACAAACTAGAGCAAATGCAATAATGGCTAGAGAAGCAACCTTGTAGGTCTTGTCTCCGAAGAAGTGAATTTCAGGAAATTCATCCAAGTATCTCAAGCAATACGTCTTGTCCCATCCTTGAGGGAAAACCTGTTGGAAACATTTTCTGAGATATAACTTCTAACGATGACAGAAAACATGCAAGGTGGATAATATGACAATTGCTCACATCAAAACTGATTTGTCCCCCAATGGAAAAGGTTAGGTTAAGATGTGCAAACTTCTCCCGTAGCACAGCAACCATTTTAGGACGAATATTGTGAATCTGATTAAATCAAAGAACTCATTATGAAGCAATGGTGCAAAGCTAACCCTTCCATTCATCTTTTTTCTCTTTAGTAAGTAGTGAATGCCACGACCCATCAATACATATATATATATATATACCTTGTCATACTCTTCAAACTCGTCTCGCTCTTCCTGACTGCAGTTTCTTCCTATCGGAGAAACATTAAGCATCCCACTTCGAAACTCAATAAATGTTCCTCTAAGAATTGAAACCAATTGATCTTAGAAGCCCATTATAGATGCTACCACATTTTTCTTTACTTGAGCATTAATATTACTCACCTTTTAATGGGAATATCCAAATCAGCAATGTAATGGAGACTGAAGTTAATGATTTCCTGCAATATTATAAACAAAGTAGCGAACCAAAATTATAATGTCTGAATAGCAGGCTCATCAAGAAAATTAGAATACTAATATAAGAATTTCCACGGCAATGCTTCAACAAACTACAAAATCTCTATTCTCATTCAATACAGGAATTTCCTTTTTCTCTACAATGATTACTTTCTGTTTTTTTCATGTGCTTTCTTTAGAAATCAATTTCAAGCATTCATTATAGATTCCTATATGGAGGAGACAAAGTACACCTAACATGAGTCATGACACAAGAATAGCTCAAACAAGTAGTTTTCACAAAAATGTAGTACACAAATCCCAACCTTGAGCTTTTCCTCTCCAAGGAACGACTTCAAGCTCTGCATTAAGAAAAATCAAATCAGAAGGAGAACCCACCAAAGTGAGAACTTTATCATTTGAACAAAAAGAAGTGTTGTCATTACTCATAACATAAGTTTCACTAATTTTATCTTCTGAGAGAAGACAAAACATAATGCCCTTTAAATCGTTGCAAAATATAAAAAATTTGAATGCCTCTACTGGTTTATACAGTCTACTGGGGAATCTTGATATTTTTTATCAATGGTGTTCCTACTACTATTGTTTTTTTATCAGGAAGATTAAGGGATATATTAATACCCAAAGAATAAAGAAAATTGTTGTTGTTGATATGTATAGTAGGTCTAAGTCCAAGACAACACCTGTGTCCCAATTAACTTTCCACCCTTGTAAGCCACAAGGCCATTCTCAGAAAACGCATAGTCGTAGTCATTAATAACTGCAATACAAAAAAACATATATTTAATCTTCAGAGTATGACAAACAGCTAGTGGAACAACATTTACATTACTTGAGTTTGTGAACATGGAATAACCGGAGGTCACCTGATTCTCCAAGCTGCTCAGATATCTTGACAAGATCAGAACCTCCAACCACACCAACAGTAACAACCTGGGAAACAAAATTCAACCACTCAAAAACTGCACTATTTTCTTCTTCCTATTTGATGTGAAGAATACCATGAGCAATCATATGCCCCCATTCCATTAAAAAACAAAAAAAATCCAGAGTACCTTCCTGAGGTTTTGCATAAACTCAATCATCTTTGGAGTAGCTACCTGAAGAATAAAAATAATTAAGTAATACAAATTTGTTGAAAGAAGACAGAGTTCCCTGCAGTAGCAACGCATTCATTACTATATAAAACCTTAAAGGAAAAAAATTAATAAAAATCAAATAATACAGAACAACTGAACAACTTCAAAACTATCAATGCAACATAATCCAAATAGACGAGGGCACACATTCTTCACTTTCTAGGACACCATCAATATAACAAAACTACAGCTAAACCACGTCCACTGAACGATCAAAAAGCAAAACAACTCCAACTAAATGAACAACTCAATTCGCTTAGAATATCCAATTGCAAGCACAATAACAATGATTTCAAGCAAAACGAGAGATGAACTCCAAAGAGATTTTAGATCCAGTCAATAGAAAAACACAAACAAATAACAAATCGCACCTTCCGAGGAGCAGTAAGAGTGCCATCAACATCGAAGAGAGCAATTACGCCGGGTTTCCTTGCAGCCATAGTCTCTGAGTCGCTTTTCAACTGCAATCCAAATGTAATAAACTCTAATGCAGATTAATTGAAGAGAAAATTGAGTTGCCCTTACCTTTTCAGATCTAGAGAGGGGAAGCGGAAGAGGTGGAAATCAATGGCGGATCTAGGAAAACAATTGTAGTCGACGAGGATCTCCTTTTTTATATATATATATATAGATTTCGAGTATGCGGTGTACGTTTCTTTTTTTTAAGAAATAATGACGACAAATAATAAGATATGCTACTTTCTTTTATTTTCTTGTTCTTTCGAACCGCCGCCGGTTTGTCGGTTTTAAACCAATAGTTAGACTTGCCCATTCGGTTTCGAACCTCCGCTTCGACGGTTTATGAACCGGCGGTTACGGTTCGAACCGAAACCGGACACAAATCGAACCGAAACCGTCGTTTCGACGGTTAGACTTTGGTTTGGGATTTTCTCAAACCGCAAGCCGCCGGTTCAAACCGCCGGTTTACGATTTGAACCGGTGGTTTAGTTTTTTTTTTTTTTTTTTCTATCTCACTATGGCAGGGGCAGGCCGCAGGCAGGCGCACAGAAAAAGAAGAGGAGGAAAGGAGGAGAAGGACCGAGGTTGGAAGAAAAAAAAGGAAAGAAATGAGAGGAACTGAGGAAGAAGGAAGGAAGTGGGAGAACCTGTTTGTGGGGGCTCAGAGCACTAACAATGGCTCTTGCCTCAATTGAGCCCTTCCCGCCGATGTGTCAACCGAAGCCAGCGAGTCGAATGATGTTTTCCACTATGGGCGTAAAATTCTCTTACAGTGGCTTTCTGAAAAAACCCTTCGTCAATTCCCTCATCACCAAACTTCATTCCAATTCCCTCATCAGCAAACCTTCTCCCGCAGACCCTAGGATGGTGGAGGCAGGCCGGCAGTCGCTATGCTTAGAGAAGAAGAGGAAGGAAGACGTCGGCGGTGATGAAATTGGATTTGGGGAAGAAGAGGAAGGAGAGCGTCGGCGATCGGATTTGGAGAAGAAAAGAAAAAAAGAAAAGCGTCGGCGGCGATGACATTGGATTCGGGGAAGAAGAGGAAGGAGAACACCTGGATTTGTGGAAGAAAAGAAAGGAGAGCATCTGCGACGTGATGAAACTGGATTTGGAGAAGAAAAGGAAGGAGCCAATGCTGGATTTTTGGGAGTAAGAGAGAGAAGAAGTGAGCGAGGCGCTGGGATTGTCCCTCACCTGCAGCACACCCCCATCGATTCTTAATCGAAATTTTAATTCGATAAGAAGGTCAGTGTGTTACAATCTTATCTACAGAGGAGAGAGAAAGCTTGGACAGACAGAAATGGGCTTCTATTAACGAGCCATTGTTCGTGCTCTCAGGCGCGGCAGCGGGCCTGCAGCGTCCGTGGAGTATGGATGTAACACCTGATTAGACATTAGGATTAAATTGATTGTATTTTATAATAATATCATTATATTTATAATTAAAATTTAAAATATAATAATAATAATAATAATAATATTAATACATATAAATTTATTAATAATATTGAAAAATAATAATGCTATTAATATTTTTTTATTTATATTCTATATTTGATAATTTTTATTATATAATTTAAATTATCTTATTATTTATTATAATATTTTTATAATTTAATTATTTACTATATTTATTATTTTAATTATTTTTATATTGTAAAAATTTAATTAATCATTTATATATATGATTTTTATATAATAAATAAATAATAAATATATCTAAATAAAATTAAAATGAAACTTAATTATTTTTAAATAAAATTTAAATTTTTAGAAAAATAGAACATAAAAAAGAAAAATATTAAAAATGAGTACATATAAACCGGCGGTTTATAAATCGTAATCGACAGTTTTTAAACCGAGCGGTTTATAAACCGTAATCGAAAGCGTCAAACTGTAATCGAAATCGTCATTCGGAATGTTCAGTTTCAGTTTGATATTTTGACAAACCGTAACCGACGGTTTGAACCGTTTGGGCAACTCTACCTATAGTTACGGTTCAAACTGAACCGAATTCGGACACAAATCGAATCGAACCCGTCTTACAATAATAATAATAATAATAATAATAATATATTAATAATTAAAATTTTTTATATATTTATAAGAAAAATTAATATTAAAATTTGATAAAAATGAATATGGAAAAAATATTATTTTTGTCACAATATAATCAAAATTCATCAATTTTGGTCTCAATATAAAAATTTTATCAATTTTGGTCCTAATATAACCAAAACTCATTATTTTTTGTCTCAATATAATCAAAACCCATCATTCTCGGTCTCAATATAAAATTTTTATCAATTTTAGTCCTAATATAACCAAAACTCATCATTTTTTTTGTTCCAATATAATCAAATCTTTTTTTTTCCCACCGTCAACAAACCGACGGAAAATGCTGACATGGACTTGCAAGATTGTGCAATTTCTTTAAATATAAATATAAGATTTGATTTTTTTTTCTTTCACGTCAGCTAATTTATTCATCTTAAACATATTTAATAAATATAAAAACTCATTTATTTCTGTCTATCCTCAATAAATAAATATTTTTATCTATATTTAAAACATCTTATTTTTAATAAAATTATTTTTAAGTTAATTATAAATTAATTAATTAATTTTTCTATTTATTTGTATTTATAAAATTTTATTCTCTACTAAATGATATCATAGTGTATATAATTTATTAATATATAATGCTAATTAAATTTAAAATATTAATAACACAATTCATATAAAAAAATAATAATAAAGTATCCTTAAGTAAATGAATCATTTGTCGCAGGACAAAAAATATGATATTTACACACTTTTATAAACAGATTAAAATGATAAAATAAATATACTTTTTACAAAACCAATAAAATATTTATATTTAAAGTTAATCTTTTCAACTAATGTAAGAGCTAAATCCAATGAAATATTTCTATACGCTCTCTCGTAAGTTTTTCTTGCCAAGTCAAAAAATAAAATCATACAACAAACACATTTTGGTGGTCACTTTGTCGCTGGCACTTGGATCTGACCTCAAGCAATAGAGGCCAAAACGACAATTTTATTTTTCTTTCTCTTCGACCCTCGAGGGTTCAATTGACATTGTGGGCTCAATCATCGTATCAAGGCCGAAAATAATTGTCATCATAGTTTTAAACTGATCTTTCGGTAGAAGAAGAAAAAAAAAAGGAATAAATGAAAAAATAAAAAAATAAAAAAAAAATAATCGATGCTGAAATTCGAGTCGCATGGCGAAGGCAATTTGCTCTACGAGAGAGCGAATGGCAATTTCAGAGGAAAATTATAATCGAAAATTGAATTATTTTATAATAAGTTTCAATTGAACTTATCACCTATTTTGATTTATAATTTTAAATTGAAATCATTATTCGATATCAATATAAATAAGTGTTATGTAATATTTTAAATATTAAATTATTTCAGTTTAATATTAAAAATAAAATAAATAAATACTTGATTTGATGTTTTTTGAATTTTCTATTTTATTTTATTTTAAAAGAACAATCTTACAAAATCTTCCAAACAAACACATTCACCCGGCTAATTTTCAGTTAAATAGTAGTAGTATAATATTAAAATAAAAATAAATTTCCATTAAATACCCATCAAAACCCTATTCCATTCAAAGTTGTAGTATTAACCCCAACCTCACGAACCAGTGTTTGGCAGCATTCAATTTATGACAATTTTTTTCAGCCAACAAATACTATTCAATCTAAAATAGACTTTTTTATTCAGATCATATAAAAATAAAAATAAAATAAAAAAAAGTATTTCCAAACCCCCCACAAGTCAAAAGAAAGTGTCGAGCAAAATTCAATCTATGTGGGGAATCTTGAAGTTGCTTTAAACAAACAAAAAAAGAAAAAGTAGAGAAAAAGAGCTATGAAATATGTGTACCAGAAAGTTCAAGATGAGCAGCAGCTTCATTAATGGCATCCACTGCCTCCATCTTCCCCTGGGCGATGGCCTCATCCATTGGAGTTCTTTCATGGCTGATTACCATCAATAATAATAATAATAATATGCACGACGACAATCACAAAAGTCTTCTAACAATTGGGAAAAGCAAAAGGATAGGAAAGCCTGTGTGTTTGTGTAAAGTTGGACACTAACCTGTTGAGAGATGAGATACTGGCTCCACCAAGAATCAGACGTCTGATAACCTGCCGAAACTCACTATATCTATGAGCTGATCCCACTTAAAATGTTGGAAATCACTGATTTGATTGTTAATGTAGTCATTGTACCGTACCTCCTTGTGGCCATTCAGACAAGCCCAGTGAAGAGGAGTGTTCCTCTCGGCATTGCAAGCATTGACATCCTGTTATCAGTCACATCAGCAATATGTACGAATATAGATTATGGAATAAACGAATCTCAAGCCGAAAAACAACTGCAGCAGGAAACAGAATCAAGAACAAAAAAACCGAGAAAGACGAGTTTTCCAGGAGGCACCAACCAAATCTCCTTACGAATATATATTTAAAAACCCCTAGTTTGTTTCATATTTATAAAATCATAATTTTCTTTTTAATTTATGGTAATATATATGATTTTATTCTGTACAAAATAATATTCATATTATATATATATTTGTTAGAGATATAATTTTTAAAACACATCAATATATATTATATCATAACTCAACAATCAATTTGTTTTTTTAACATTTCAAACCAAAATCTAACACTAACGCAGTTTCCAATAAAAATACACTATTTCTTCTAAAAAAATATCATATCAAAATACTATTTAAATAAAAACTAAGCAATTTCAAACCACAACCAAACAAACCCAAATCAATCAAACAACATCACCTTCCAACCAACCAAAACATTAAAGAAACAGAGTAAAAGATTATGCAATGGCATCCTCACCACTCCACGGTTGATAAGATAGTCGACCATGTCAAGATGCCCATTTGCTGAAGCCATGTGTAGTGCTGAAAGTTTCAACATTAAAGCAAAACTAAAAGAAAATGAGATAAAGAAAGGGTGAAATCACCAACCAGAACAAATTGGTGAATAATATTAACAAACTATGAAATCCCCAGTAAAAACAATATACAAAACAAAGTAAGTATATAAAACACAACTGGCATTTCAAATGAAGTCGGGCATAAGAACAATTACCTGTGCGGCCTTCCAAATCCTTGGAATCCAGAGAAACCCCACTTGATTCTATGCACTGAAGATCATCAATATCGTCATATCTGGCAGCCTGTTTCAAAACACAATATAACTTTTGCCCATCAAACAGCACAAGTTGCTCATTTGACAAGTGCAATTTCAGATGAACTTTGACAGTTTTAGATTAATAAAAGATTCCAATATCTTGGTTTGGCAAACAGCTTACTTTATATATAGCTATTTATCCTAATAAATGTTTTCTATCTTCTCATAATTCTCCCACCGAATACTCTTTTTTATCCCTTTAATCTAAAATCTGTATTATCAAATCCTCAAAAGTATATCTTGTTAACTTCAATTATATTCAACAACTCTATCAATTAAACATTGAAGATTAACTTCCGGCATCGAATCAGAACAACAAATTGAAGTGACACTAGAAGCTTATAACAATCATTCAAATTTTCTTCAAGCAAAACAATATCCTTCAAATGGAAGACCTAAACAGAAACTCTTCAAACGATTTCCGTACTGATGTTAAGCATTTCAGTTAAGCTTAGGTAAATTAACAACCAGCAACTGAAGAATTTAATGGCAAAAAATTCAGGCAAATATATCTAATGCTTACTAAAGTCACAAAATTATCGAAACACCTAGTACATATAACTTCATCCAATCTAACATACAAATCATCATTCCCAAAAAACAAAAAAAAAAATGAATTTAGTTCCTGTGATCAACAGTTACCTCAAGCAATGCATCCACCATTGCATACATCATGAAACCTTCAGGTGGCTGCGCTACCATGTTCTCCTCCAGTCCCATTGCTGTCTTATCACAAAGTTGTTTCATAAACATGCACAACCAAAATCATATTACATCTAATCAAAATAAGGATAATTTTTTTAATAGTATGATTACTATCCCAACTCCAACAAATAGAAACACAAATTTTTCTAAACTAAAATTATTCAGACATATCATCATTGAAATCCACTTCATTTTCTTGTTTCCCGTCAATTTAGTCCAACCTCAGAAAACACAAAATATTAACAAAACAAAAAGTTTGGTGAAACATTCAAAACGGCTACAAGATATCCTGGGTGTGGAAATTGGAACAATAAAAAAAAATAAAAACATCAAAATCAAGCATAAATAAGTGTAAATTGAGAAGGCAACTTGGCCAAATAAATAGAAATAATATAACAGCAAACACTAATCGAACGAACATAGAAACAGATACTTGAAACGACATAGCAATTGTCAGGATGTAAATTGAATGAACATAGCAACAGACACTTCAAACACATGGAATGAACATACCAATTGTCTCTGTAATGTAATTGAATAGCATAAAAAAAGCATACACATACACAGACCCCACCTAACAGACATACAGTGAAAGAAATTGCATTAGTGACCGTCGCAAACAATCAAAATTTTCTGAAAGGGGTTGAACTTACGAACCTCTTACGAATCAGAAGAAGAAGATGAAGTTGATCGCCGGAATCGAGTAGACTCCAATGAAATTGGGTTTGGGTTAGCTTAGAATAGAATGAAGAAATCGAAGACGAAAGCCGAGAAGGCGAAAGTGAGGGAGAAGAGAAAGGGAAAAAGGAAGAAGGAAGAGAGAGAACAAGAACGATGAGGGGAAGAAGAAAAGAGACGGGAGTGTTATTAGGGTTTATTTGGGTGTTATGGTATATGCAGCAGTCAGATACGGTTCCAGGACTGAGTGAGTATTTATAATATACTCCGTATATACGATAAATAAATAAATTTTTAAATAACTTTAAATACGAATTATTAATAGGGATGTCAAATGGGCAGGCTAGCCCATAATGGAGCGGTTTCGGTTCTAAATAATTTGATTCAGGATGGGTTGTGAATTTAAGTTTTAGACCAGACTGGATTCGGAGCGGGTTTCGAGTTTTACTGTAAACTCATCCCACTAAGGACTCATACTTGAACCCGGATATTTTAATAATTATTATAATTTATTTATATTTTTATACAATATAAATTATATTATTTATTTATTTGAAATTTTTAAATATAAAATAGAACCTTAATTTTAAATTAAATTTATCTTCGCAGTTATTTTTTTTACAATTCTGTTTGTTTATAATCGGGACTATTGTTTATATTTTCTAGGGGGTGGATCCCGAAGTCTGCAAAATTCGTCCCAAACCAGCCCCGTTGACATCCCTAATCATTAATAATTATTTTTATATGAGTATTTTCATGGTTTTTTTTTATAAATATTTTTTAGATAATATTTTATGAAATTTATAAAGATAAATAAAATAATAAAAAATAATACTATTGGTTAATATTTTTGGATATATTTATTTTTTTATATTAAATATGAAAAATGATGTTAGTAGTATAAACAATAATAATATTTTATTTTGAATTATTAATTTTTTTTAAGTAAATAAAATAAATATTATGTTAATAATTTAATATGAATATATGTATATTGTATAGAAAAATATTGGAAGAACAATCCAAAAGCTTTTATAAATTTTTTTGAAAGAAAAAAATATCGAAAGAATCAATTCAATGCTTCTATAAAATTTTCTAAAAGTAAACTGTTTTTTTAGTTCCGTAATTGGACCCTCTTATCATTTTAGTCCCGTAAGTGGAGCATGTCGCAAACTAGTCTCATAAGTGAAAAAATTTCGTTGTTTTAGTCCTCCGGCACCGGAGATGCCCGCGTGGCTCGCCGGAGGTGACGTGTCCGTCAAGTGTCACTGACCTGGCGGACACCTGGATTTTATTTTTTTTTTCATTTTTTTAAATTTTTTTAAAAACTTATTTTTATTTTTATTTGTATTTTTTTATTTTTTATTTGGTCCTATTAAAAAAAAAAAAAAAATCCACATGTCCGTCAGGAGTCACTGACCTGGCGGACACGTCACCTCCGACGAGCCACGCGGGCGTCTCCGACGCCGGAGGACTAGAACAACGAAATTTTTTCACTTTTGGGATTAGTTTGCGACATGCTCAGCTTACAAAAAAATTAAAATGATAAAGAGATCCAATTACAGGACTAAAAAAACAGTTTATCCAATTATTTATAATATTTTTCCGTCATATAAATTTACGCTAGAATTGATTTCGTCATATTACCTTTTTCTTTTTTCTTGTTTCTTTTTTTTTAAATTTCGCATATGGATCCCCCGGCCATGGATTGAAGTACCTATTACTATATACATTAATGCCATTCATTGATCCAATTCATCCCCTTCCGTTTGTTATTTTTAAAGTTAATACTGTATATAATATTTGTTTGGTGTAGGTCCCATTTTTTATTTTATTTTTTATGTTTTTTTTTATAAATAATATGTTCTCTCCTTTTCAAAATAATAGTTTTATTTGACTATTTTCGTCCGTTTTAAACAATAGTCTTGTTTTTATTTTTTTAACTATATCCCAATTTTTTTTTTACATATTATCTCCATTTTTCAAAATAATTGCATAAAGTAGAGACATTTTGGTATTTTAAAAACACTTTTACTCCATTATTATTATAATACTATTATTCCTTAATTTTCATATCATCCCAAATATCCTATTGTTTTGGGAAGGATGAAATATTTGTTATTCCTTAATTTTTTGTTATGTATTTATTTTTTTTAAAAAATAATAAAATATATATATATTGAGAATTGCATCAAAAAAAATAAAAAAACAAAAGATTGAAAGAACAAATTCTTTATTTTAATTATTTTATGTGTTTTATTCTTTTTAAATTATAAACTTTGTAAGCTCTATCATTAATTATATGTTATATTTTTTTGACCAGTAAAATGGTATAGATTTGTTTGGATATTGTGAAGAAGAAATAATATTTTTTTAATATTAAAATGGAGTATGTATATCGAAATAAAAAAGAAATAATACAGTAAGTAAAAGAAAATAGTAATTTGATAATAAAGTAGAGATAATAAAATTATATAAGGATAAAATTGTTTAATATAAATAGATTATATATAAGTTTTGTTGAGAACTAAAAAAATTATATTATTCTAATATTAAAATTATGTATGTTAAAAAATAAAAGTAGAGATATTATGAAAATTTTATCAAAATAATTGATTAAAAAATAGTGATAATTTCATAACTATCTTTTAATTCATCTCTTAACCTATAATGTCTATTTAAAATTTTATGTATATACCATAAAAAATTATAGAAATGATATCAAATCAAGATTTAATTTTATTAATATATAAATTATTAAATTATAAATATTATATAAAGAAAAAAATTACAAAAACAATAAGAATAAAAATTGAGAGTGTGTTTGTTTTGTAAAATAGTTTGAAAAAAATATTTTTTTATGTGAGATATAAAAAATTATGTAACTAATGAAAATAATAAATGTGTATAATATATTAATTTTTTAGAAAAATATGTGTTATTTTTGTGAAAAAAAAAAGAGATAATATTCTCCTAAAAGTATAAATTTGAATAGACATTACTAATATTATATAAATATTCAAATAACATATAACTAAATTATAATTTTTAAAATATAAACTGAAATAGCAATTACAAGTTAATGAAATTTGACTTTAGTTTTATTCGGATATTTTAATTTTTTTTTTACTAATAAGATTTTCAACTAAATTATAATTTTAAAAAATATTTATAAAAACATGTAATTAAATTAAAATTTTAAAAAATAAATTAAAATAACAGTTATATATTAATAAAATTTGACTTTATAATACAAGTAGATATCACTAATATTATATATAGACATTATTTTTGTCATATCTATATATATTTGATCGATAAAATCTATCAATCTCCAATATTGAGATCATTAAAAGTTAAAATCGTTTAAAATATTTTGATTTATTCAAATAATTTTTATATTAAAAGTTATATATTTGATAACAATATTAATTTTAACAATTCGATAAAACTTATAATCAGACAGTGCATATCACGGTTCTTCTCTAGTATAATTATATACAATATCTATTCATATAAATAAGTAAATAAAGTAATTCATGTTATAATTATCATAAAAAACATTATATATATATAAATGTGTTTAAATATAAATATATATTTTATAAATTATTATAGTATTTGTTATTGGAAAAAAAAACTTTAAATAAGAAATATATCGGATAAATTAGAAAAATAAATAAAATAATAAAAAATATTATAAAATTGTAAAATAATAGTATAAGATAACAAAAATAAATCATAAACATCGCTTAGAGAATTTGTATACAATTATATAATTTATAATTTTTTATTTTATGTTAAAAATTATTAAGAAAAAAATCAATTTTCGTCATAATATAACAAAAATATATCAATTTTTGTCTCAAATATAAAAAACTTGTTAATTTTAGTCTCAATATAAATAATTTTAATCTATTTTGATCTCATCGTTCAAAAACTAACGAAAATTGCTAAAATGAACGTAACAAAATTGACATCACAGCCGACCTGAAAATAACACGGCCTTATACAACTCTATACGATATATAATTCAATATAAAATTATAAGTTATTTTATTTCTTCGTAATATTATTTGTTCTGCCAAACTACTGGATGAGATTCCATCACTTAAAGACGGCCAATGCAATGACCATAATGTTCAAATCACTTAAATTCACACATACCCAAACATTCTCTCCTTTGCCTAATTGGCTAAACTCATACGGTCGCGTATATGGATGTTTTGGTCTAAAATTTTATATTTTTTTATTAAAATATATATACATTGAATTGAGAATACTTAATATAGTTAAAATGAAAAAAATCAATAGTAACTCTGATATAATTAAAATGTATCAATTTTAGTTTAAATATAAAAATTTATCGGGTATATTTTTTTGAAAGATTTTGCCTAAAATTTTACTATTCATCAAAACTTTTTCTCTTACAAATATCCAATTAGAGCTGACAAAAACTGACCCAATACGAAATAATTGGGTTTAGGTCAAAGATTATAACCCGATTATGTATACGGGTTGACACGAACTCGGCACGATAATAAACGGATCAGGTTAGGGTTGAGGCTCTCAACTCGAACCCGACACGACAACCTGTATATTAATATTGATTAATATATTTTTTTATATATAAAATAATTATAATTTAATAAATTTTTCATAAATTAATTTAAACTAAATTTAATTTTAAATAATTCAACATAATTTACGCTCAAACTAATAAACACTAACATAACACGACAACAAAATAAAAAATTATTTAATTTGAATCAAGAAATTAGACTTAATTATATATACTAGTCAACAGGAGTCAACCCGAACCCGACACGATAATAAACGGGTTAACACGAACCCGACACGATAATAAACGGGTCGGGTTAGGGTTGAGTAATTTAACCCGTTTAAAATATTCAACCCGACACGAATCGACCCATTACCGGCTCTACATCCAATTATACAACTATTTTTTATTTTTTTATATTATATTGAAAGTTAATTTTATATTTCAATACAATTTCAACATATAAATGTATAATTGTATATGATCGTGTTGTTTACAGGTTAGCTATAGCGTCAACCCCGTTACATCCATGATGTTTTAAATTTAAGATTAATTTTTAATATAATATAAAAAATAGAGAATAGTTGTGTAATTGGATGTTTGTAAGAGAAAAAGTTTTGATGAATAGTAAAATTTTAGGCAAAATTTTCAAAAGAACAT